CGAAAAAATGACCTCTGTCATGAAATGAGAAAACACCGACATTCCAACAATGGCAAACATTCCATTTTTTTCTTTCTTTCGGTTCTTTCGGGTAAGATACGTTACGGCGTTTGAGACCCTCGATACGTTGGGGGTGTGGGGGGGGGTGGGAGGTTAGATACGCCAAATACAAATACCGGTTCATGTTTGAAACGATCCGTGGTAATAGTTGAGACCACGGTGTGTATGAAAACGTCAGCGATACCGCTAAGGGTCTGTATGTTTGCGCATGCTGTCCGCCACGACCACCTTGGTCATTCCTGTGCAACGTTTAGTTCTGAGTGTTAGTGTGTCGCAAGTTCGAAACAACATCCTAGCATGTGCCGGGACACTGCAGATCTCGTGACGATGTTTTCGTAGCTTCACGGCGAAAATGCTCGTCATGATGTTTTATTCTTCTGGCCTTCTTTCGTTTCTTCCACAGTCATTCAGTGGATGGGCGCAAAAGCTGTAACTAGCAGGTAATCAGAAGGCCGCTAGATGAGTACACTCATCTGTCCCCAGATCGTGCGAGCGATGAACTCGCTGTACTCGTCAGACGTATAGAAGTGATCACGTGTCACCCCTAGGTACAATTTTCACGCTTCGACACGGAAACCTGGACCACAATGTCCCGTTATGCCGTTTCCTTCAAACAGTGGTGCATCTTTTAGAGGGGGGTAGTTTCAGCAGCACTCTGACGCAGTCCTGTTCACAGCAACGCTTCGGGAACGAATGTTGAATCTTTTATGCGGCGATTGAGTTCAAAATTGGAAATATCGTTTACGGGATTGCGCTGCGTATCAGATTTACCGATGTACGTGTTTTTCAACGTTTCGGATCATGATCGATGTGTCTTCGGGACGACGTGACATCAAGCGAAGCAGAAGAATGATACCGTATGAAAACTGGCGCCAAGTAACAGCTGCACTGCAGGATTACGAACCTCGGTGCAGTAGGCTAGTCAGTAGTTCGTTAGAATGGGAACGTACTTCCGTACGAACGTTGAGGTTCGTTCATGCATTGGTTCTACTGAATGACCATTCATGCGCCGTTCATGTTCCCGCGTTGAAAACATTTCTTTCGATGTATTCGCGTCGCGTCATTTGGCTCCAGTTGATCTGATTGTACTTTGCAAATCAGTTCGAGTTATCCTGTAGTGCGATTCAAAAATCTGATCGTATATCCGTCAGTGGGTGTCCGGCGTGCGACGCGAAGTTCTTGCGGGCGAAAATCGCCCTAGTCCCGCAGAGGCGGGATTTCAAGCAAGAACCCGGTGCCGGTTTGCAACTCCTGTCGCCCGGCTCTTGGATGATGTATGTGCTGAATGTGACTATTCATGTGACCGGCCGAAGAAG